TTTTATAAAATTTTTTTATTCATTTTTTTTATCTTTAAAAATAATTTAAAATTTTTTTTATAAAAATTTAAATTTATCACTTATAAACAATAAAAAAAATAAAAACTTTAAAAAGTACCATCAAACAAACCCTATATCTGTATTTTAAATCTTATTAATCTAATTGGTGTTTTAACTAATCCAATTCATTATAGTGGATATCGAAATTAGTGTTTTGGCATTGGTTCCTACACCATCATTATTCTTTTTTTATGCTGTGTAGTGAGATTTTTCTATATTGTCTAGTGAAAATATCCTACATGTACAATGAAGATACAAGTAAATTACATATAAGAAAAATTACTTTAATTATTATAAATTGGCTTTAATTTTATCCTTATGTTAAGCCTATATGTCCAAGTTTTATATATAAAACCAATCATTAAATTATATGTAAAATTGTATGAAAAAATTATATAAAAAAATTTTATCAATCATTTTTCTATAATTAAAGGAAGAAACGAAAATCAAAATACTTTGACTTTTAAAATTTAAAATTGTCTATAAAATTATTTAAATGTTTTTAATTATTTTTTTTACATTTTAATTCATTAAAGGCATCAGCAAGCTAGGGGGCTTGAGAGAGCCAAGCCCCCCCCAAGGTTTTGACTTTTGAGAACTAAGAAGTTTGGCATTTAAATTTTATTTATTTTTTATATTTTATCTTAGATGGTTTTATTATCATTTTAGTTATTCTTTATTATTGAAGAGTACTTTAATTAATAATGAAGATGTTAAGTTACATATAGAAGGTATGAACGATGAAAAAATATTGAATATCATTCCTTCACAAAAAAGTTAGTAATAAACATTTGCTTTACTTTTTTAGTAGTGTTCTTTTACTCATTATATGTATATTCCTCATTTCATTAAATTGATGGCATTTATATCACTTCATCAACAATTATTAGTTTATCTAACTAATAAATTTTTTTGTCTCTTTTATCAACTGTGTACTTTTCAATTTATACACAAACACACTATTTTTAATCAATATTTTATTTTTTTCCCCCTTAAAATATATTTTTGGCTACCCCATTGATTAAAGGTAGTTAATTCTTTTCATCATCACTTTTAACATTTTAATTGTCAAAATATTTAGATTTTTTGCAATCCCTCAGTTATATTATTTGGGCATTAAAAATTAATTGTCTATTTTTTATTAAGTTGTTATTTAATGAGTTTATTTTTATTTTAGAGAACAACTACACCCTCTATTTCATAATAAATAGTCATCTTTTATTTCATATTTAGAATTTGAGAATAATGTATAAGATAAAAAAGAAATTTTTTTGATATGATAGATAATTAAAGTCAATTAATAATAATAAAATTAAAATAAAAAACGTTTCTTTAAAATATAAAAAAAAAATAACATAGAACAAATTTTGAGTAAAACCAACTATTATTACAAAATAGAGGGAGCAAAATGGAAGGAGGGACAGGAAGCAAACAATATACATAATAGTATCTTTAATTGTAATCAAAATATGCTTGTGAAAAATAGGAAACGGAAAAAGGGGCAGCAGAACGGTCTTAACTTGATTCCAGGACTTGACTGCTACCTTACTCCACTAGGACAAGAGGGACATGTTAGTTCATAAAATACAGGATAACCTGTAAAGATCCCCACAATTCTATATGGTTACATATATGTTAGGAAAATTGTTGATATACTTTTTAATTTAATATATTTGTCAATATTTATTAGTTTAGTTATTAAAATATATAATTTTAAGTTTTTTGGTTTTTAATTTAAATTCAAAATTAATTTTTTAAATAAGTGTATTAAACCAAAATATCTGTATCAGTGTCTTATATATAAAATTAAAATTTTATAATAATTTTTTTAATATAGTATATAATTAATTATATACTAAAAAAATAACTCTTCCATCTCTGGTTGAAAGAAGCGTGGTGTGTGATATGGTCTTTAGTTATGTGGTCCATCTGGCTGTGGAGGAACCAATTGATTTTCAAAAAAGGAAATGATACTCCAGCTACTGTCGTGGATTTAAAAAGGCTGCGTTCTTTAAACTGGGTAAAGGCTAAGCTAAACGAAGAGGTGCCCAAATATTTGTGGATTGAGAATCGGCAACAGCATCTTAC